CTCTCTCTCTCTCTCTCTGTCTCTCTCTCTCTGTCTCTCTGTCTCTCTCTGTCTGTCTCTCTCTCTCTCTCTCTCTCTCTCTCTCTGCTCATCCTTCTCTCTCTCACTCTCTCTATCTCTCCTTTTCTCCTTTTCTGTTTTCCCTCTCTGTTTACCTGCCTACCTGCTACCTACCTATCTACCTACCTACCTACCTACCTACCGACCTACCTTCCTACCTGCTATCTACCTACCTACCTACCTACCTACCTACCTACCTACCTGTCTACCTACCTACCTATCTACCTACCTGCTATCCACCTACCTACATACTACCTATTTACCTATCTATCTAGCTACCTACCTACCTACCTTTGTACCTACCTTTGTACCTACCTACCTACCTACCTACCTACCTACCTACCTACCTACCTACCTACCTACCTACCTACCTACCTACCTACCTACCTACCTACCTGCCAGTCGTACAGTCAGCCCATTTTTTTTCTCCTTTTTTTTGTTTACCTGATATCTGTCAGTTTGTCCAACTTCCATACTCAGCCGAGAAGTTTCTGAATTCACAGGAACACCAGTACTCACCAATGACGAACATAAAATTCCAACTCAGCTGAGACCGTCCTCCTAGTCCAGTTCATCACCAATTAAGATTTTTTTTTCAAAACTGTCGAAAGCCGAAAAGGATTCCTGTACTTTTTAGTAAAATTAAAAGAAGAAAATGTGTACTTTATGGGAATATAATTACGAATCAATATCCTCTCACAGGCTAGATAAAAGCCAGCCACAATAACATGACTAGCCCGCTAAACCATACACTTAACCGGCATTCGAAAAGGCAATCTACCACCATGACGACCAACAATATTTTTTCGTTATTAAAACATCAATGCCAAGTCACAATGAGGATAAGCCCTGGAGACGGTGATTCGTCCTAAGTGATGAAAAGAACGGGGATTTAATCGAAAGAAAGAACGAATGCAATAATACAATGAAGAAAATGTCACAGCTTTCATTTGCTGCATTCGCTTTTAATAACTTGAAAACCCTAATGGAAAACGGTGACTGGTATTGTATTTTTCTTTTTTTCTTTTCTTTTCTTTTTTTTTTTTTGCTTTTCTTTTCATTTACTCTGTTGTCTTTTTGTTTTGTTTTGTTTTGTTTTGTTTGTTGTTGTTGTTGTTGTTTGTTTGTTTGTTTGTTTGTTTGTTTTATTTGCAATGCTTTACAGTTAGTTCTGTTTTCTTTTATTTTGTAGTAGTTGTTGCTGTTTCGTTTTGAGTTGTCTTTTTTGTTTTTGTTTGTTTCTCTCTTTTTCATGTGTGTGTGTGTCTGTCG